TGTCCAGGCAGGGGCTGCTCCTCACTTGGGGCTGCTCGGTTGGGGGTGATCTTCCTCAGAGGGGGGCGCCTCCAGTTTCAAGTCAGGACCATAGGGCTTGTCCCCTCGGAGGAAGGCTTTCAGGTCCTGGAAGAGCAGGAAAGGGTCCCTGCTGTCAGGGGAGTCCTGCTGTTCCTTGTGCTCCGGCTCCGCACCTGGGCTGGGGTTCTTCACGCTGCCCACAAAGAGGGGCAGGCCGGTGGTGTCCTCGAAGAGGAAGAAGAGAAAGGGGCGGTTCAAGCGAAAGGAGAGGGACATGCGGGACATGGCTATGCCGGTGGCCGCCGTGGCTTCCACACCGGCCTCGCTGAGCTCCAGGGTGGACTGATGCTGCACGCTGGTCACCACCAGATTCTGCTCGGAGATCCCACGCAGGTCTGGGGCCTGGAACAGCTCCTGGAGGCCTGCCGGGGCAGCAGAGGACTGGTCAGAGCCGCCCTCTGTCACAGAGGCTGGCCTGGCCCCGGCCAGAGGGCACTCTGCACCCACAGATGCCTGGCTAACTTCTGTTTACCTTCAAGCCCAGCTTTAGCTATCATTGCCTCCAGGAAGCCCTCCTGCAGCTCCCCTCCATCCCATCATTTAAGCTGGGTGCGTGGTGCCTTGCCTGTCCACCCTGTCAGTCTGAACTCTACACAGGGTGAGCGCAGGCCTAGGGCAGCACCTGGCACAGAGAAGTTCCTGGGCAAACCAGGGTGGGTGCCTGTACATCACAGAGTGAACCCCCAGTTTATCTTTCTCCTCTTTCCAGGGGGACCACCCCAAGCTCACCTGGGGGGTCTTTGTAGTTCCTTTGGGCAGAGCAGGCCCTCCTTTCCTAAGACTTTCCCAGCCCACCCCAGGACAGAGGACCCAGGGGCTCATACCAAACCCCTTCATCAGTCGTTGGCCCCCAAAAAGGGTTGGAGACAAGGCTAACTCTGACCCAGACACTCTGCCTACAATAAGAGGCTTCCTCCTCATCCACCCTGCCCCAGGGAAGGGGAGGGGCCACACTGAGCCTCCCTACCCAGCTGTCTGAGGGTGGCCACCAGGTCCAGCTCGTGTTTCAGGTTTAGCTTTGGCAGCTGGACATCGGTGGGCCTCTCCTGCATCAGGGGATGATTCAGCGAGTCCCAGGTCAGGTTGGTCAGCAGCTGGGTGACGTTCCATTCAAACTGAGCAGGCACGATGACCACAAAGCTCATGTTGTTCTTAAAAGGGAAGTGAGCCACCTGCCAACAATGGAGGAAGGAGATAAGATGAGGAGCGGCCAGCATCCAAGCCCAGGTGGCACCTGGGACACCGTGTGCTATGGAGACAGAGGCATGGCAGGGGTTGTCAGGAGTAGCCTTCCATGCCTCGTCTGTAAAACAGAGCCACACCAGCTGCTCGCCTTGTAAACGGAGGGACACACAGGGACCTGCCAGTCCTAGGGACCTGACTGCGCTGCACCTTGGGCCTGCTCTGCAGCCCACCGGCTCCCTGCCCACCTCCTGCCCAGGCAGCCCAGACCGACCTGCATCTCGGGCTGCTCCCGCAGGAACCAGCGCAGTGGGTACTTGTGGGCTCGCATCATGTCCACGGGTACTGTGAACTGTTCGTCCAGGTGGAAGGCAGCTTTCTGCGTGAGGCTCGGGTCAAACTTGCTCTTCCACAGGCCTGCAGCAGGCAAGGGCGCAATCCGTCAGTGCTGGGCCTTCCCAGGCTCCTCCCTGCAACCTTTTCTCCTCCCCCAGCCCCTAAAACCCCTTCACAGAAAGAGGCACATGTCTGGGGATCCAGGCAATCCCAAGGCCTCTCCCCTGGAGTCTGTTTAAAGATCTGGGCTGTGTCCTCCCCAAGCCTTGCAGTGCTCCTCAGCAGCCCCCCTGGGTCTATGCTTACCCATTTCCTCCTAGGTCCCCTCCCCACCACACCATCCCTTATCTCTCAGTCTCCCCCTAGCCCGGCCTCATGAGCCCAGAGCCAGCCCAACTCAGCATCCCAGAAAGGGTGGGCCCAGGAGGCTGAGGGTGGCAGCTGGGGGAGCTGGGGGCCGCACCCTGGAAGTGGATGGCGTTGAGGATCAGCAGCACAGTGTTTGCAGGCATCTCTGAGAGGAAGTTCTCAATCTTCCCCTCCGTGGCCTCCTTCACCCACTGGTTGATGTGCATCAGGTCATCCTCCTGCTTTCCCACCAGGGTCATGGGCTTTGCGCCAAAGAGCCGCTCCGACTCTTCCAGGAAGTCCTCTTTGATGGGAAACCCTACGCAGAGCGGGCAGGCTGTTGCCAGGGCTCAGGACCTGCTGGGCTGAAGCTGGCCAAGGTCAAGCCCACCTCCACCCCTCCCGCCCCAGGGAGCTGGACGACCTCCGCACCCACCTTTCTGCAGGTATATCCTGGCAGCCAATCGGAAGGCCCCAGGGCCCAGGTCCTGGCAGAGGCGGCTCAGCAGGTGGGGGAGGCAGGGCCCAGAGTCTGTGTGCAGTACCTGCTGCAACCTTTGCAATGTGTGGTTCCGAGCACCTGCATGACCGACCAACCACTTGGGCCCGGCGGGGGGTGGGTGGGGGGGTGGTCTTCCCCACCCTCACAGGACTGCTAAACGCTCCTCCCAGTTCCACCCATGCAAAGCCAGGAGAGGTTTCCTGCTGTCATCTCCCCTGTGGCCAGCAAGACGACCACACGCCCCCATCGCCCCCATCAGTCTTCTCCCTCTGCCCTCAGCTCCCCTCAGGGGGACTCTCCAGGCCAATGGGGGACAGTGTAACTATGATTCTGCTCAACCCCCCGGGCACTTGTGACCAGGCTGGTCCCTGGCCCCAGCCCCCACTCCAGCCCCCAGGATTCTTATTCGCAGAGACTTCTGGGAAGGCATTTTCACCAGATACTCCAGAGACCCTGATGAAGGAGCTCCCCACTGCTACAAACTCAGGGAACTGGCTTCCTACTGGCCTCCCAGCTCTGACCGTCTGGGCGGAGGCAACTGCAGTACCTAGTGCCACTTGAGACAGTGCCAGGGCCACACTCAAGGGCGACAAGACGAGATTAGGGCTGGTGGACGTCTGGGCCACCAGTGAGAACAGGTCTGTGGTGAAGGCCATCAAAGCCCGCGCCAGCCTTCGAGTCTGCTCTGGGGTCCCCTTGCAGCCCCCTGGGGCCCTTTCCTTCGGGGAGTCAGCGCCAGGTTCTGGGTCGAAGGTCTTCCTGGGGCTAGCAGACGGCAGGAGCTTGTCCCAGTCCTGGAGGAGTGAGAGAACGTGCTCAGGGGACCACGCCCCTTTCCTCGCGGAGTCCGACTCCGGCCACGCCCCCAGTCCTGGCGATTGGCCCTCCTTCGTCTAGCCCCGCCCACCTCATCCAGTCCCCGCCCCGGTTGTACCTGGTTGACTACTTTGAGGAGGGGAAGAGGGAGCAACTTCTCCTGGGCCTGCTCGCTGGTGAGCTGCCAAGGAAGGAAGCAGATGGGGAGTGGTCCTTCCAGTGACACACACACACCCCCCTGCACACACACACACCTCAGACCCTCGGCCTTAGGTCTCCAGCGTGCTCATAAGAACTATTGAGAGAGGAGGGAAGGGGGAAGGGAGAAGCCCCTACCAGAGCCAAACCCTCCCTCAGCCCCCTCCCCTCCTTCCCTCACCTCCCAGCCCCCTCCCTCTGACCTCTCGACCTCTCCCACACCTGCCTTCCCCCACCCCCTGGGGGGGGCCTCTCCTCACCACCAAGCAGGGGCCTTGCAGGCAG